GACATTTAGAGAAAAGTACTTGTAACTGTATTAGTAATACTTAACAACTCTTTAATAGAAACAAATTATTTAATATAGATCAAAGTACAAGCTGAATGACATTTTTTGTTCTGCTTTTACAGAATTAGAAACTATTCTTTTTTCTCTAAAATTAATAACGTTACAAAATTAATATGACAAATATCGTTTCAATGATTGAGTCGAAGTCGAAATATATTTGAATCGAAGTTTTACTCTCAGCCAGAATCCTTCTCGTGGATCTAGAAATAATTCAGAAAAAGTCGATCGACGTCCGAATCGAAAGTTTCGTAAGCGGGAAGTTACAACACAGCATAGAATTAAATTCTTGGTTAAAGCGGGATTAAAGTTTCAAATATTGTAATTTATCTCTGCAGCACTTGATGCGGCAGTTGGATACAATATTACGGGGGGAAAGTTTAAATGTTCATTAAGGAATTTTAATGAAGTTGCACAAACGTTGGCCATGCGCTTTCTTTGTCATAGTCTTCACTTTTAAATTATTCCATCTCTCGATTGCGAAAACATTTCGAAAGTATCTCTGCCAGAAATTGAGTTTCAGCTCCAATTATTTTCGTTCGTGTGTGAATAATCCTTGCTGAATTTTTCAACGGTTCGTTTCGCACGAACTTGGCAACGGGTTGTAACAATATTTACCGCTGTCAGCGACCGTCCAACAAATTATCGACATCGTAGTAACTGATTATTTTCAGTACCATTTACAACACACAATTACCGTGTGTAGGCGAGGTAAATTGCTTGCCAAAGTTTCGCATTAACATCTGCGAGAGGTAGAAATATAGTTGGACTTTATGACATAAATGTAACGCGTCATTTCCGCAATTAACAATTTCTACGCATTTCACTTTTGAAGCTTTTGCCCCTATATGTAATTATTACGAAGCCGGCTCCAATGAAAATTAAATTCCAATTAAAACGAGGGACGCTAATTTGATTCGATTGTATTTAATGCTCGCGGAAATATCGTATCGCGTGCAATAATGCTCCCTGTTTTTCAAATATTTCGCCAGCTTTTCCGTTTCTCCGTCTTTTCGACGACGTATGGATTTTCCGGCCGGAAAGTTCCCAATAGTTATGTTAACTCTCGTAATGTGACGAAGACGAAGTTAACTTTCTTTATTGAAAATTAGAACCTATTTAAGTGTATTAAGCTGTATTCAACTGTATGTGACAACTTGAACGATAGAACTTGCTCAACTTCGGCGGTAACTTGCTCGTCATTAAAACTTCTTCAACGTTGATACTTTGTATTGCTTTTGATTACGCATTAAAAGAAATAAATATTCTTACACATTGCCTGACAGATTTGTGTCGTATTTTAACAACATCGTGAAAGATGAATTTGAACTATAAACTTATAAAGCAACCTGTATATAGAACGGAGCTGTCTGTTTCACGCGTATTTAAAGCATCGACTAATTAAATTGTACCATATTGAAATGCGCATATATTGAAAAGTGATGTTTCTGTGGAAATATGATTTAAATTACCTTTGTATTAAAATGTAGACCAATTGAAATGTTGCTACGTTTTACGTCGTGTAAATATGTATTAACATTAATATACACGAAATAGAGAAATCTCCATGTATATGGATATTGAAATGCGTAATTATCATCGTATTAAAATTACAGATTTATAATTTCCTGAAATATGTCACGCATTATGTATGTTCCATTAATACATGTGCAAATTTCTGGATTATAAATACGAGATTCTGTAAACTTTTACAGAAAAACATTTCGAAACTTTGACGCAATTATCAAAAGTGGGGCTTCTATAATTCTTATCATTTAAAAAAAAAAAAAATAATCTAACGCTTCCCAAATAATATTCCCGTTACAAGTAATATGTTGCCCAACCTTTGATGAAACTAGCTCCAAGGATATTTTTTCGAAAAGGATATGGCTTACACATGGAAACCTTAATTTTGATAATTATATGTGAAAAGTTTACATGTCCATACCTCTCTGTTAAAATTAGATTGCAGATGTTTATGCATTCGTGAAAAACGTACAAACATCAAAAATGGCATACTCGTTGGAATATTGAAGAGATAAAAGAAATCTCTACACATCCTATCTCACTCTATCCTATTTTTAATTCTATCCTTAAGAGAATGCGAAAGAATTATATGAAGCGTGTCATTTCTTCTCTCAGTTACACGTTTCCTCAATTACCTTTCCTCAATTACACGTTATCTCAATTACCTTTTATCTAAATTATTTTAAAAACTTCTCGTTCATGGTGACAAAAGCCAGATTAAGAAATTAAGAATCCCCAGTCTGAAGTAAATTTCCATTGAAAACTATCATTACCTGCGCAACTTCGAAAGCTTGGCAAAAAGTAAAGATTAAACAACAGTGCAACGCTGCACGTCACGACGTACTTTTGCAACTCGCATAAATCACACATCAAAATCATGTACAAATTCAAACAACCTGAAATCGCTTTACCGGCATGAACTCTTACTTCGTTTCAAATATTCCCTCAAGTTTCTGTCCGTGCTCGCTCGCATTAATCAAGTGACTGCGATTCAAGCAACCACCGATTAATCCGAACGAGGTATAGCTCCACGCGTGAATATCAGCTCGTGCAAATGAACGGTGGGCGTATGCGGCGGGGAAATCCACTTGATTTCAGCTCGCCGATGAAAGCAAACGCGGGCGAGAAAGAAGCACGGCGAGGGGGAGTTAAGCAGTGGAAACAGAGCGGAGGCAGAGAAAGGCTAGGTGTAGAGGAGTTGGAAACACGTTTCGTTTCCGTTCCACCGTCACCTTGAGGCCATCTCTTACCGGTTTACGAGAGCACCCCCGCGAAACTTTCGCTACGCTCGCACTTAAAGTCATCCTTCGAAATAGTGCGATGTAGGTGGTATAATGTCTGTTACGAATACTGGCAGTGGCTGCTGCTCGAGGGATGGGTTTATGACTCGCGCCACTTCGCACGCCACGTTTACGAAAGACGTGAAACGTTTAGACTCTTCCTGGAACCTTTTTCGGACGACTTTCATCCCCTATCCGTGCGTCCATTTCCGAACGAAACTCTCGCCAACAGCGAGAGTTCAAGGGTGATTGTTCCAATGCTGCCCCGAAGCGAACGATATCACGATAGTCGCCTTTTGGATTTAATTAATACCGAATGAAAATCGAACATTTTGCTGCACACGCGGCTGATTGTTTTTCACCGGAGCGAGTGTTTTTTTTTAAAAAGAAGAAACTCGAGTGTCTAAACTCTAAAGATTGAATTATATAAGATGTTCTATACGTATTAGAGTATCATGGACACTGTATCTGGCTAATGATAACATGAATGCACCATGTCTACAAAACTTGTCTAGAAGCTTCGAAAAAGAATGAAAGAATACGAAAAAGAAAATGAAAATGATTTTTACCTTTAACATCGTATAAAGCGAAAGTGATAGAAGGTTAAACGGTAGAAAAATTCGTTTCGTCTGAGATAAAATTAATGACAACTTCAATTGAAAAATAATTGCAAATTTTGAAGCATGAATATTTTATCGTACAACTTCCATTTTCTTTCTGAATCTTTGCTCCTTCCTCGGCTACCTACTTCCCAGTTATACCACCTGTTACAAGACGTGACCCTACAACTACAACTACTTCCGACATAAATTTTCGAAATTTCCACTTCTGTGAAACGGAGATAAAAAGTTGTTCAAACCATTCTTGGAAGAGAATTTCTTGCACTCGTATCGTGCATTTGCAAAATTAGAACATTTTAATTCATAAGAATTTTACGCGATATCTTCCGCTGAAAAGGGCATTGATAAGAAAAGAATATTTGCTCCAAGCCAAGTATTCATTCGGTGACCGTTTCGATATTCGACGAAGGAAACCAATGATTAGAGATATCGACTGATTGATCGGCAGTCTATTGAAGCGGCTTCTGCACGTATATGTTTGCCCGGTGCCGCGAATCTGAATCACGAACTTAATCTAACCATCTGACAGGAAAAAGTAGATAATCCGTTTCGTCGATCGACTAAGAAGTGATTTCAACCAATTTTCATTCCGCGCAAATCGGAATGAAAGCTTGTCCAGAACGGTGAAGCCTGAACTTTTTCCGAAGATAAAATTAATTACTTGAAAAGTTGTTCAAGCGTTCACATGTTTTTGAGAATTAAATCTGGGAATTTTATTATCGCCAAACTAAGAATTAGCTAGAAAAGAAACGTCAGTTTCAATTACATCAATTCTAAATTTTCGTTGGCTTTCATAAATTTACTTCGAACCAAAAGAGTTACATCTCTCCTCTTGAACAGCGAATTTTATTATCGCAAAATTAAAAATTAGGTAGAAAAGAAACGTCAATTTCAATTAGATCAATTCTAGATTTTCGTTGGCTTCCATAAATTTACTTCGAAAGAGTTACATCTCTTCTTTTGATCAGAAGAATTATTACATCCAAAAGGACGATTCGAAGGACGAGTTAACAAATCTTTCAAGCTGGGTTAACAAACGAATATCCTCTTCGCCACGTTCGACTAACGGGTAGAGGAAAAATCATATCGATCAAGTTAAAATCGTCGGCCGTGAGAGCGAACGGTGCACGAAGGAGAACGTGCGTCTGGTGTTGGTAGAGAGAGGCCAAGCTCTCGACCGTCTATCAGTCCTAAGGGGAACTTTCGCGGTTGGATTCCTTAGAGCAGTGGCAGAACCTATGTCTACGTGTGTTTCTCGCTATCCTGGGAACGTGTCTTTCGTATGAGGAAGGCGGGTCCTACGGTTCGCGATGGCGGAGGGCACGTGAGCCCCGACGGGCGCATGCGAACCAACCCTAAAGCTTACAGCAGAATCGAGAAAGGATGCCTCTCTCCCTCTCTCTTACTCTCTTTCTCTCTCTCTCTCTCTCTGCCTCTTTCTCCCTCCAAGCCACCCGTCATCCCCTTTCTCACCCTCTCGTTTCAGTCTCGTCGGTGGCGAGCCGTGTAGCCCCCTCATGTGCCAGTCTGCACCGAGATTCCGGCGCGAATCGTCCTTCTTTGTCGCGGCGTCACGCCAACTCCTAGATGGATGTTGCTGAACCGCATTCTCGTGTCAACGATTTACATCGTCGTGCAGTTCCTCGCAGTCTGTCCAGCCTTCGTGGAAGGTCAGTGATGAACCGACAATCGTTCGAATATAGATCGTTCATGATTAATCTTGATCGTCGGACTGACTTAAGAGGCTCTCGAGTGACACGTGTGATTTTGCAGCATGCAGAGATAGATGCGTAGAACGCGATTATATCGATGTGCTCAGTGAGAAGTATATTCAGTTTCTCGTATTTTCTCCCTTTGAATTATGTCCCGAGGTTTTGTCGGTCTATGAGTGAGGAGTTTTGAAATTTCGGGTGCGAGACTGTTTCACGTCATGCAGCAACTGTCAGACATAAGTGATACGTAAGAAATCAATTGATAAAACGCTTGGGTTGAAAAGAAGCACTTGGAGAAATAAGAAAGCTAATTCTCATACGGAAAGTTTGAAACTTTGTCTGTCATTTATCTTATCGTAGCAGTCAGGGATTAATCTTGGAAACCTTCACTTTGATAATTATGTGACCAACTGAGAGTCTTAACGTCGTGATTGAGACAGCTCGATGTCTATTATTTTCATCGTTCAAAAAGAATATTTTCAAATTTCTTAGAATTTCATAACGTAGTTTCGTGCTTCGAAGTCACAGACGTATACACTGCGATCGTGTTCTATCTTTGTTTCATGTTATGTGAAGGTACTGAACACGGAATTCAGAGGCTGTCGTTGTAATTTTGCCAATTTTGCTGTCGAGCGGAACGCATTGTCAAACGTTAAGGAATAGTCGAAAGTGCAACGTAAAGCGTGAAATTTTTGAAGTTAGTGACATGACGTAACGTGACGTGACGTGAAATGACAGAACGAGGAGCAAGCGGAAACAGACGTTCACGGACGCAGAATAAGCCAGTGTTGCGTGCGTTTACTCGTGTATTTTTTCGTCAACGATGCGTGTAATGGCAACAAGTTTGAATGCGTATTTAACCTGACAGAGAGACGTTTGATAGTACAGCTATTTCCACGCGGTAAATTAGAATAATTTGTTCAGTCGCTTGTTTTTAGTTGTACGATTTGTATGGCCGGTCAGTGAGACGTAATAATTACACGAGCTTTTCAATGTACTTGAAAACATTTCTCAGGGCGTTGCTTCGAAATAAATTTCTGCATCTTCTTCGTTCGACTGTGCTTCGTTTAATGTTTGGATGAAAACAACAGAGGAAAAAGAATAGACAGTAAAGGAAATCTAAGCTATGGTGTGACAGGGTAGGTGACGTTTAATTAACATTGATTTTAAAATCAATCTCGCAGATGTAGAAGGAAATTTGTTATATTTGCCAAGAATATTCGATACCTTTCCGTCCATTTCAATACAAGAGTGATATTTACGGAACATGGATCGATATCTGTATTTTAAAATATTTCTTCTCTCTCTCGTGTCGAGTAGTAAGAATTTTCTTTCGTTGACTCGTAGAGTAGATCGTACGTTCCCATATTAAAAATTAAATATAAATTCATGATTCTACCAATGTGTTTGTGTACAAGATTCGCTCGCGAATGTTGAACTGTTACAAGTATAAAAATAAATTCAACGTTAAACAAATTATTACTAAAAAATGGAATCGTATTACCAAATTTTTCATCTTCTGTTTACAAATCTTTTTGAAGATGGGAATCCAATCCAGAAACACTAGACAGACACTAGGCGTATGTTCGATCAAGTCTATCCAAAACCTTGGGTGTGCAGTTCTTTCACGCTAACTTTAACCATTCATTCATTGCACTTAATTATTGCAATGAATTATGAACTTCCATCAATTAAATCTTCACAACATATAAAGAAAATTGATATAATTGTACTTGGTAGTGATTGAGAAATTATTACCATCTTTCATTCAATTCCTTCACCGAAAATTACACGACTTTCAAAACACTTCTTTCTATTCCCTTCGATATTCAAAGCAATTATTTTTACCAAAAATTCAAATTGGAACATTTTTATATACTTCAGTCATTTTTATATGCATCGTCTGAAATCTTAGCATCTTCTTCCAATCACTCCGAATGTTCAAAAAAGTTAATCAACCCTCAAAACTCTGTATGATCTTAGAATCTGTTCCCACTCGTACTTAAAATCATTTAAAACGATCTGAACGAAAATGTCGAAACGGGCGGATAAACAATTCGTTGGGAAACGTTTCGTTTCGTTTGATTTATTGAAGAACCATTACGTGTAAATGACCCGGGAAATATCATCTCCTCGTTAAGAGCAACTTAGTTTGCGTTTGGTATTATCTACCGTGGTATCCCTCGGCAAAGTTCTCGCTCTGCTAGCCGAGACACCGCGGACTGTTACGCTGGATATCTCACTTTCGGTGTCTGGGGGTTGCCACGATTCCTCTCGTCGACGCGCGATTATCCCTCGATATCACGCTGCATTATTTATCCCGGTCCCATAAAACCGTCGAATTTTCGGAAAGGCGAGAAACCTCGGCGGAGCAACGCCGAGGAAACTTTTGTCCGTTATCCAGCGGCTCTGTCGCTACCCTTACCCTCTGACAATAAGAAATAGAGGAGAGAGGAGGGCGACGGGGAGGGCGACTGGCTGCGAAGCTTCCACCTTTTTCATCGTCCCTTTTTCTTCTTCCCTCCCTTTCTCTCTCTCTCTCTCTCTCTCTCTCTCTCTCTCTCTGTCTCTCTCGCTTCTCCACTTTATTCCAGAAACTTTCCCGCAGACCGGAAATCTGTTCGCCAAAAAATCGTTGGCATCGTAACGACGCTCATTTAATTTGGGGCCAACAAATGCACCCGAATGTATCTTCCGAACCGTTTCACGGCACTGTTCCGTTCTCTTCGTTTTTGTTCAATTTTTAATGTGTGCGAGCATCGTACGTTTTGCTGTTCGGTTCGGTAACTTTCAGCGATTTTATGGCTTGAATGGCGGAACTAAACACCTTGCGAGTTAAATTAACTAGGGAACAGAGGATACCAGAGTATTTGTTCGATTCTTTCAGCTTTTTAGAAATAATTTAGATTTCTGTAAAATGGCAAATTAAATTAACAAAGCTGGGTGAAAAAAAGAATCAAAGTATCGGTTCGAGTCTGATAAATATTCCATTCTTCCAGCCTCTATCCGAACGTGAAAGTAAGTGAAATTTCAAGGTATTAAATTATATATTTATGAAAGGTACTTCATTCTGAACGTTTTTGTATTAACAATTTTAATCATCTTCATTTCCATTATCGTATTATATAATGAAGTTACTATATAACGAAAATTTAAATCTTCAAAACTTCTGATTCATTTATAACTATAAATCTAGATATGGGTTTTAGACAAAACGATTATTGTGGACTAAAAACCCATACAAACATATTTGTACAATTCTGTATTATTGAATATCAATCTTACCAAGTTCTGAAATATAATTTAATACTTCTATAGTTTCCAGTTTTAATTATATTTATCAATTTCAATAATATAACGATTACATTTGTCTAATCTAAACCGAATCTGAATATCTGTCGTAATCGCCCATGAATCAATAATACCTATCATACTTTAATATTCATAAAAGAATATTTCTCACAATGTTTCCACTTTATTATCGCGACCATCATACATTCCTCATGTTTTTTAACAGCGTGTCACGCTGTTATGGAAGGAGCTAGATCCCTGGATTCCCCATTATTGATCTCGCGAGAAAGCTGCGTTCATGGTTGCGTAAGAAGACAATTGTATCTCGCAAGAGGACGCGGACAATCGTCGAGTTTCAGCGATCGTACCGCGTCAGCAAATAAACTAATTTAGAGTAGAGCTTTATTGCGTTAAAGCGAATACTTTCCTTTTAGGCAGATACTCGTTGATAAGCCAACCCCTCTCCCCTTTTAGCAAACGCGGCCGCATTGTATCATCGTAATAAATTCCCGAGACTTTCTCGAGCGTGTGCTATCTTTGTCGGTAATAAGCATAAAGTGTCCCGCAGCCATCTTCGTCCTCCCTTTCACCTTGAACAAGCAGGGTGCGTGCGGCTGATACATTCTCGCGAAGCATTACGCGTCAGCCAAGGGCGGGTATTTCTGTATTCTGCCGTAACTGACAAATTTTTTACGCGTGCTCGAGACGCGGAAAATCTGGGGGAGGATCCGCACGCAGAACGTTTTTTAAGCGCGACAAAAGAGGCTTCTGAATTCTCGGCTGAAAGCTGCGGCAGGAAACCCAAAGTCTCCCACACGGCTATGTAGATAGAATAGATAGGGGATACACTTCAGATAGGGGATCGCCTCGGCTTGTTCACGCGCGTGAATGTACTGAATCGGTTTTCGCACGAAGCCTCCCGACCGATCCGTTGCTATCCTCGGTGATACACTCGCCACGCGGTCGACTGCACTCCTTTTGTTTCTCAGGTAAAAAAATTTATTTATTTTTAAGAAGTATATTATCCGAACTCTCTCACGCAACAATTCGAGATTTGAAAATCTTATTAAATTGAGAAATTACGAATTGTAAAGTTCTACCGTGCGAATATATCGCTTTCAATAATTTCGTGACTAATTGGTCTGTGATTTGTCAAATTTATTATTAAAACGCAATGATTTTTAGTAATTTTATTCATATTTGTTTCGTCAAGAAACCTTCAAACTGTCATGAAAGACTGCCCTGTTTATTATATATTGGAATTAAGACATTCGTGTAATCTAATGAAAAGAGAAACACTACCTTTCTAGCCATTGCAAGAGGAAAAAGTTTCTTTCACAATTTCATATTTGAAAGACGCTGAAATTGCGCGAAATTATTTCTCTTTCGTCGTACTGTTTTGCAAACAATAAAATTGTTAACGGGAGTGACACTGCGGATAGGCTTTTTAATTCCGTTAGAACAAAACGAGTTGCTATCTTAATAACCGTAACATTAATCTAGCTCATGCTAACAATATCGTTTCCGCCATAAATAATAGGGAAAGTCGTTTAAACGAAGATTGCAGTGGTGAGAAACAGTCAGGTGTAAAGATTTCCGTAGATAGTATGTGCCGCGGTGGTTTTCAACTGGTTTCCTTCACAATACAACTGAAACAATGATATAAG